ACCTTGAACTTCTGGTCACATGATCAAAACATTGCGAGAAAAGATGGCGGCCATGCAGCAGTCAGTGTGAGTATCGAGTTCTCTCTCGAATGGAAATAGACTGTCTGTAATTCCTATACGTAGCCACGTTCACATTTCTCTGTTGTCTATGTTGTGAGTTTCATTCTTGTTCACAAATCGATCGACTTTGAGTATGACTCGGACGTTTTCAAGTGGCATTCCAACAGACCCCCACCCATACTCCAGATACCGACTGCATATAGGACTTCCGGGTTGTTACTATAGGCTGTAACGTTATATTTGTAAGTTATCATACTGACATTGCGGTGGAAAGAGTATAGAGTAGTGTAGGTGTCAAAGCTGTCTGGTTATGTTGATGTCTGTATGTAATTTTTGTCTTAAATTTGCAAGTGTTTGACTTTGGCAACAGTTAAACTTTTTAAAAGGCAGACGGAGTAACTTCTTTGTAGCTGAGATTGAGCACGCAGAGAATCTCTCTTACTGGGTATTGGAAGTGTTATTTGGGATGGCTGAGCTGACATATTGTGCATTTCTGTCTTATTGTTTGACAGTAGGTTGACAGCATACGTGCTGGGATTGAAGATTGACAGGCAGAATGACACAGTAAAGAGAAAAGAAGCAGGAAATGGGATAAACTCGAAGGTACCGGTGATGAAAGTCCAAAATACTTCCTGGAAGTCTGAAATCCCTGTTTTTTGTTCTTCCTCATTGCAGGTCTTGAATGGAGACACAACAAACTTTTTTTCCAACACAGCAGTCATCTCGCAATCTCTCAGGGAATACCACATCGAAGGACTTAAGAAACTATAATGCCATTTAACTTTTTTGGAGCTGAAAATGTCAAAGTTTACCAGGGTAACATTTCTTGCATGTGCAACATAAAAGCACAAAATAGTGCTGTTTGAGCTGATGTTAACTTGTCGTGTAGTCAGAGGAGCATAATTCAGTGCAAAGATGTCAGAGCTTCCAGGCTATGTAGGGTACCCTTGGGTAGGGGACAACTCGTTGGAGTTCTACCGAGACCCAGTCAACTTCATGGAGAAACGGATACAGGACTACAGCAGCAGGATCTTCCAAGCGAGGTTTATCAACCGTCCAACGGTGTTTGTGGGATCAGCAGAAGCAGTTAAAAAACTCCTGAATGGTGAAGATTGGACTCACATTGATTTTACCTCTTTAACTTTAAAAGGTGTTATACTGTTAATGATAAAAAAAAGTATAATATTGTTAACACAGATAAAAGTGAAGTTAATTTGAATTGATTGTGTTGATTTGACTTGATTTTGTAACTGACAACATTTGAGCTTTCATTTTATTTCATTTATTATTTTTCAGAGAAGACACAGCATTTTGATATGGGATACAAGGCTCTCTGGCAAGGGCTGTATGGAGAAAATGTGCTGTTTTCTGATGGTTGGTCAAGTTCTCTCTTGCTATAACATGTGTTTAAGTTTTGCTTAGCCTTAGAAAAGAGATTAGATTCAGCGAACAGACATTTCCCTCAATGTTAGCTCCACATAAAATGCTGGTAACCTGTGTGTTATTCTATTCTGCTTTGAAATTCAATAAGTGGACAAAAACATCTGGCTTAAAGGCAGAAGAAAGAAAACGAAGAATGCTTAAAAGCTCTCCAGATGTCACAGATGAATAGTCAAGGAGGGTCAAATGTAAAGAATGTAGCTGTAGTAGATGCAGATGTACTCATGCAGAACACTTGAATTCCAACTGATCCTGTTGTGTTTTGGTTACCCTTCAGGAACTGAAGCCATAGCTCTCCGTGCTCTACTGATTCCACTCTTTAATAGAGAGGCTGTCAGTGGCTACCAGAACACTGTGGAAAGGTCAGCTACAGTCCCTCTGCACATATGAAGCAGTTAGTTATAATTTACCTATCCAGTGTGTAATCTCTCACTGTCATGGCATGGGCTGATTGGGCCTGACCAGAGAAAGGGCTGCTATTATTCATAAACCTACATTCTTGCCAAATATATACCCTTCTCACTTTTTGTCAGATCCAAAGAACAAAAACCTGCAAAGTTTTAACTTGACTTCACAGGAGATGCATTGGTTGCGTTTGTCCCACCTGTTCACCTACCTTAAGATATTACAAAATGTACTTCTTTCCCTACAGAATATGTGATAGAACATTACAGAGCATACCTGCAGGGTGAGTACACAGTTACCCTTGATAATGTCAGTATTCAAAATTGCCATTGAATAGATGAATTCACACATTGAACTCTTGACCTATTGAACAATTGTTTGCCATTATTATTGCATCAGGATAAAAACTAAAACATACATGTAACATGTGTCCTGCCCTACAGGAAGCCTGTGAAGGTGTATGAACTCCTGAAGCAGATGTCCACAGAGATATCCATGGGTTTGTTCTTGGACATTGAGAGAGAGGCAGACAACAGCCTTGGTCCACATGTGTCACAACTTATGACTCAACACTGGCATGGTAAGGGTAGAATTTCTTCATATTTTTTTCAGGAGGTAAAAATGATCTCAGTGAACTCAATGAACAGTTGCGCTATTCCTCCACTGGTCATTACAGAGGAGACAGATGCATTTTTCCCCGCAGATTAACATTGTCTGAACCTTGTCATGTCTGTCTATCTGACCTTCAGGTATCATCTCCATGCCTGCCAATCTAAAGCTGCCAACATGGGGAGGCAACTGGGAGTCAGGCTACAGTAAAGCACAGGAAGCTAAGGTGGGTCATCTAGACTGAGCACAATCTTGTTTATATGGCATACCATTGGCCAATGATATGGATTGATAACAATATCATTTTCTGCTACATGTATCTGTGTTTATTTGTGAACCTTACTTAAAGTTAAAGTTTTGCAGTTTGATCCTTTGTATTTTTGCAAAGTGTTAATAAAGCTTTGTAATATTTGTTGAAAGTCTATCCATATATTAATCATTTGTCTTTTATTCAGGATGAGCTTCTGCAGATCATCAGAGACCGGATAGGAAAGAACAAGCACAAGTATAACACATTATCTTTCTTTTTCATGAACACTGTTACAACACTAGATCTATAGAGATGCTCACATTGTGAGTAATTTGAAAACATTGATTATGAACCTAGTTGTTCCAACAGTCCATTGTACCACACTGATAACAGATTAGAAGTACACATGTATTTTTTAGTTCTAACATGTAACCTATTTATTTTTCCACAGCAATGTCTTAGGTCTAATGAAGACAGCTGGGTTCCGTTCTGAGGATGAAATCTACTGGCACCTGTTGCTGTTTGTGTCAGCCCTGGTGCCCAAGGCTTTCTCTTCTCTGTTTACCTCCTTCACCCTACAATTAGCAGGGCCCAGTAAGGTGAGTTGTTGTCCATCCAAATCCTTCACAAAACACAACAGAGAAAAGGCTAAAACAGACGAACAGCTAATAATTTGTTTTTATTTGTTCAGCTTGACATATATCAGTGTGTGTAGTGCAGTGGTTAGCAACCCTGCCTCTGGACCTAAAGGTCATGAGTTGGAATATGCACCTGTTGTTGCTGACCCAACTATGATACTACTGGAAAAAGTCACAAGGATGGTTAACCTATTACACTGTTCATTTGTACATGTACTTGTCAAATAGAGCTAGGGAGATTTAACCAGGACAGTGAACCTATTAATACTGTACATAAAATCTTTCTTCTCTGTTGCCACCAGTGGAAGTGTAGCTCAGCTGTTGATTGAGCTAAACTGGGTTGAGATCACTTTCCCTTTTCTTTCTTTCATCTCATGATTGTATTTTGCAGGCGTCCATGAGACAGAAGGCTCTGGAAGATGAGACATTCCTGGAGCACATCCTCCTGGAGGTGCAGCGACTCTGGCCACCCTTCATCGGGGGGAGGAGACTTGTCAGACAGGTGGGGGGGGGGATAAATGTCTGTTACTTTTCTTCAGTACAGTCAAAACTGTCCAAGAAGGCTAAACAGGGGACCATTAAAGTGGTCACATTGGCCAGGTTGTCCTTATGTGGAGGTGGTCTTTTATACAGGTTTGACTGGATGTTTCCCTTAGATCAAAATTTAGAACTTTAATAGAAGTTATAAAATTATTTCTAATCATGTATGAACATGTTTTCTGACATTTAATAGCACCTTGCCGGTTCATTATGACTTTGTCACAGAATGATCTGCTTAGAAATAATACAAAGTGTCTCTGTGTAATTTTCAGGAGTTTACCCTTGCTGGGTACAGGATCCCTAAGGAGCATGGCCTGATGTATGTGACTCACACAGCTCACAGAGACCCTCAGATCTTCCCTGAACCACACAGCTTCAAACCAGAGAGATGGAGCACCTGGTAAACACCTTTGTCTTGAGATGTGTCCATCTGTTGTGTGTACAGAAAAAAATTAATCCATAACATAATCTGCTAGGTTAGATACATCTGCCACTTTGAAAAACAGTGTGTTTGAGTATGTACAGTTTGGATATGCTGGAGCACATTGTAGTGGTGGACATTGCATTGGAGATTGCTTTAAATGAATTGTTTTAAGGTGGCAGATATGTGACTTGAAGGAGTGTTGTCAGTAGAAAGTAGGAAACGTCCTGCCAATTTAGAATTATTCAAAGACTACACCTTTTGTGCTGGTATTGATGACATTCAAACCTGTCATCATCAGTACAATACAACATCTACATGTGGACATTTCTGTCCCCAGTAATGCAGGGCATGAGGGATATACTGTGTGCCTTCGGGGGAGG